AATATCCTTCCTTCAAATTCACCGATAAGATGCAACGAGAAAATGCTTCTAAACCCTCCCAGCGAAGAAATATCCAGTCGGCAGATGCCGTGTTACCCCAATAGCACCAATTTTGCACAAGGAAACCTCTTAAGGCTACCCTCCCCTGACCAACTTGCCTCAAGAAAATGACATAACTGCATTGATCTAGAGCAAGAAAAACTCATCAAAAGAGGAAGCCGTATAAGGCGGGAGCTAATCGAGGCAGTTATCTGAACACAAGCAAAAACGCTCTAGAAGAAACATACACATATGGACAGAGCTGTTAGATCGCTGAAAGTACGTTAGACGTTCTTCAACTTGTCCGATCGATAGGCACACTTAGAAGAAGAAATCGTGAAGGAGGCTGGTACGTTTGTGCTCAGCTCGATGCATGTGAGCCTCAAGTGATCCTCTAGCTGTCGAATCTGCCCTTTCAACAGCCCATGCCAACTCTTCCACTTCTTTCTCCAGTTGAGCTTGTTGGTATTCGAACTGAAAAACCTCTATTTACTCCCAATCGAACCATATTGAAGTCAAAGATGAGTCATAAAATTGATGCGGTAGGCATTTCGATCCGTTACGAATCAAATATTCCCACATTCTTCCATATAACTGCCATGATCATTAGCGTTTTTACTGGGTAATTGTGCAGCGGGTGAGGTCGGCGCGCAGCCACGAGGATAGGCAATCGAGGTTACGAAAAGTGTCACTAAACGAATTATTATTTCCTCAGAGACGAGCACAATACTCGGCGGCTCTAGAGTCAACCGTAATCCAACAAGAATCAACCAACTTTGCTACTGAAATCACAGAACTTCGGCGCAGTCCGGCGATAGGGAGAGGGGGGGGGGGCATCTTGCACTTCTGCTGCTTCACTAGATCTGGTTTGCAAGTCTCACTCTGGTAAAACCCGTGAAACACTTGTGAAAATTGGAAGCTCGTCCATCCGCAATGTAAACGGCATTTTTATAGTATTTCATTGCTATACAAGACTTGACAGTGGCCATCCGTACCAAACTGCAGCTAAAAATTCTTCAGATCCAAACAAGGACTATAAACGATAGAATTTAGAAAAACTTTTGGCATTATTTATCCTTAACTG